GTGTGTCTTTTCGTGACCTTTCACACCTGTTTGCCTGGAACCAGGCCTTTCCCTCTTTCATCGGTTAGGGGCTCGAAAGCCGGATAATTGGATTTCTTAGAATTAAATGTAAAGGCTCAAAATCGAGACCAAAGGCTCTCCTGTGAATACGAAGTGCCAACTTCTGCGTGTGGGATTCCAGATTTCTCTTCTGGCTGATCGAGTTTGCTTGTGTGTTTTGGGTGGGACTTTCTTCCTTGTGGTCATTTCTGCTCCAGATATAATACAGTATTTACTACCCATTTTAGATAAGGTAATCCCAACATGAAATGTAGCCTTGTCACTGTTTGAAAAAAAAAAAAAAGAAAGAAAAGGCAGAGTCACCAATTTGACCAGAAACTAGTGACACATCCTGTAATAAACAATCATTTATAATGGAAGCGGCTGGGGGTGGTCATGCAAAACTTAAATGTTGCAAACTGCATAAAAAAACAGCACAAACCCGAGAAGCAAAATTGTCCCATAGAAAGTTTTCCAAAAGGAAGTAAAGCACTTAGATGCTCTCGGACTTTGAGTTCCTTCCAAGTATTATTTTAAGAAGGGGGCAGCAAACTTTTTCTGCAAAAGGCCAATGGTAAAATGGTTTCTGTCTCAACTATTCAACTCTGCCAACATAGGTGGGAAGCAACCCTAATACAGAAACTCATGGTTGTGTGGCTACACACCAATAAAATCTGTTTATGAAAGTTTTAAATACAGAATATATCTTTTCCATTAAAATTTTTTGCTGGTAAAAAAAAATTTGTTTATGGGCACTGAAATTTGATTTTCATAAAACTTTCATGTGTCAGAAAGTCCTATTTTTCTTTTGATTTTTTTTCCAGCCACTTGAAAATATGAAAACCATTCTTAGCTCGGGCTGCACAGAAACAGGTGGTGGGTCCGATTTGGCCCAGAAGTGACAGTTTGCCCACCCCGATTTTAAAAGCTCAATAAATATTTGCTGGTGGTGATAATACATTTCTCCTTCTGAAAACAGTCTGAAACTCAGGGTCGATCAGGCACTGCCCCGCATCACTTTTTCCCACCTTCTCTTTTTGAAAACTTCCAGCACTGCAGTAAGCTGTCAACTTGACCAAGACAAAGGCCACCATAGACAAACTAAATTACGTTCCTTTTCTGAGCCCTTTAAATATGAGTTTCAAAACCTCTCTTCTACCAGGGGAGGCAGCATCCTGATGAAAGGCATCAGGCCTACAAGTGACAGGAACGGGGACTATGCTACCATGTGGACCCCACACTTGCAAAGCAGCAAATGCAGTGGCAACTTTATAGTCATATACACACAAAAACTGTGTCTTTACCATCCTCCATATGATAAAGCCTTGCTTAGGACAATGAATAAAGAGGCAAACTTATAGTAAACCGACAAGACAGACTGTTCTTAAGAATGAAGGGTGGGAAGGGATAAACTGGAAGTTTGAGATTTACAGATACTAACACATATAAAATAGATAAACAACAAGTTTATACTGTACAGCACAGGGAAATATATTCAGTATCTTGTAGTAACTTATGGTCAAAAAGAATATGAAAACAAATATATGTATGTTCCTATTTGACTGAAGCATTATGCTGTACACCAGAAATTGACACAACATTGGAAACTGACTATACTTCAATTAAAAAAAAGAAAGAATGAGATCAGACACCCTATGTAACCAACCTGCCAAAGAAACTCAGCACACCTGAGCCTGCCCACTCTCCCCTTGAGAGTGTACTATTGCTTAATAAATCTTCATTTTACTCTCTTGAAAGAAAAAAAAAAGAATGAGGTGAGATAAACAACAAGGTCTACTGTATTGCACAGGGAACTATATTCAGTATCTTATAAAACCTATAATGAAAAAGAATATGAAAAATTATATATATGTATAACTGAATCACTATGCTGTGCACCAGAAATTAACACAATATTGTAAATCAACTATATTTCAATTAAAAAAAAAACTTGTGACTCATTCAAAATGACACCCTTGTTCCTTATCCACGTAATCTATACAAAATATATGTATTACTCTACAAAACAAATTAAGCTTCCAGTTTAAAAAAAAAGAATAAGATTGGCTTAACATTTCATATGACCACTAAAGACAAGTTCAATGAAAATTATTTCTTACTCTCCAAGTTTCACCTAGACATTATTTCCTTAATCCTTGACAAAAAGACCACCGTATAAAACTTCTGTGGGAATCCTTGAGTGTATAATACCTCCCTTTCTTTTTATACAGCCCTTCCCTCTGAAAAGGTAAAAGCGGATTTCACTCTTTCTTCCATTCTCATGATTCCTGCATAGACGTTGCTGTATCTTTTCAGAATCAAGGAGAAGTAAAGAAATGTTAAATTATTTGCTGGAAATAATTCAGAGGTCTTGGCAGAGCACAGAATGAAGGGAATATTGCTGAATTGCCAACTTAAGGCTTCTTCCAAATAGACCATGAAGATTTTACCCAGTTCCTTCCAGAAATGGAAGCTTATACATTGTGGGATGAGATGGTTCTGCCGTAAGGGCATTCGTGTTCCTGAATCACCGTGATGACTATCAAGAACTGCATCTTTGCGATGCTCACTGTTACCATTCTGGACAAGTCAGGAATGGACTACACTGATTGCCTGGGTGAGTTAAGTCAGTTAAGTTGCCATCAACAGGGGTAGAAGAGTTTGGGAAAAAAATTATACCATGGCTAACATCTACCTAAAGAGAAGCAGAAACCACAATTCCAATTCATTTGAGTTGTCTGGTACTTTTCCAGAAAATGTTTTTTGAGTAATGACATATACTAGATTCACTCTTAAAATTATCTAATCCTCTGCCAGTGAACCAGTAAACACATGCGACATCAAACGTGCCAGATAATGAAGGGGTCAGTACAAAACCAGCAGAAGAGTGTCTTTGATTTAGAACAGAATTCTAAATTTTATTAGAATTCTATTTGAACTAATCAATTCGATTCTATTCTATCGATGACAAGAATTCATTGATTTGCTAATTTTACAAACCAAGAGGCAAACTTTTTTCGTCTAGTTTATCCTTAAGTGCCCCTTGCACTGATTTCCTAAATGAACTCTTGTTTTGCATGAATACAGACTTTCTTAGGAACTACAATGCAATCTGAATACCAATACTGACATCTTTCCCAACTTTTTTTTTTTTCAACCAGAACTGCAGATTTTCCTAATCACAAAAAGGGAAAGAGGGGAATCTGGGAAATAACTGTCTGTTCAAGATGTAAAGTAATATTTTTGACCTTTAATTAGGTGCCTATGCTGCTGAGATTGCCTTGAGTGTATCAGTGATGCAAAATCCCACCCAGAACAGCAAACATGTTCTTTTTCCTCATAATGCGGTTCTTACTCCTGTTCTATACTTGAAGTACCATTACTTGGAAACTACTAAAAGTTATCATCATTTTTCATAATATTTCCCCAACACTGTGACCCAGTTGTAGACCTGCAGCCCAGTGAAAGCACTTCCTTCTGCAGAGAATGAATGACTCTCAACGTAGCACAAACACACTCCAAAGGAAAGGCACAATGAGTTCTACAGGATCTGAGGAATAGAGCAGGGGTAGGGGGACGGGTGGGTTTAAAGACAATGGAAGCAGAAGGGCTGGAAATAAAACTAGAGTAGTGTTGGAAAAGTTGAACAGTAAGATAACAGGTCTATCTTAGAGCTACCTTTAAAAAGTGTTCCAGTAAGAACTAGAAATGCACTTCTGTTTATTGCCGGGTAAACTCATGTCAGTTTAGTAATACGCCTTATGCTTCTGAATCACTGTTTGACACGACATAGGTGGATACTGTACCATTACTTATTACCAAATAATTACCACAACAATCAACTGGGTTTAGCCCAGGGGGATTACACAGCCCTAAACCCTGGGTGGAGGGGAGGGCGTGGTGCGATGGAAGAGTCGGAGTAATGTAAAGCCGATTCAAGTATAAAGGTGGGGGTGGGATACAACAGTTAACAGGCAGGCAAATCACAAGGCCCACGTTCCAGGACTCCAGTGGCTAACTAGAAGTATGTGTGACCTTGTGCAAGCCACAAAGGACTGTTCAAAGATTTGATCTCACGGACAAAGAGACCAGACTGCGCTGAATGCTCTTTGAGACCACTTTCCAGGGTCCAAATACCACTGTATAACACCTCCTCCCTCAGGTGTGTGCGCCTCAATGGGCCACAGCTGGGACAACTCAGCCTCCAGCTTCCGCCCGGCGCCGCGGGGCGTGGGGCCGCGCTCCGAGGCCCTAGGACGCTCTCCGTTCGCGAACGCCCAGCCGGGTGAGCGGTGCCAGGGAAGTGGGGTTGGAAGTTTAAGGGTGGCCTCGCGCACCGAAAGTTGGGGGGAAAAACTGCTGAATCAGGGTGCCCCCATTTTGCCAGATCCCCGGCAATCGGATGCGCCCTTCCCTCACCCCTCCTTCTGCTCCTTAAAGAACCCGGAGCGGCCTGTGCGCTCCGAGATCACCTGCGAAGAGCAGAGTGATGTCACTAGGGTACCCCTGAAGCCGCCCCCATGGTAGAAAAAGGCCGAAATCTCTCGGTACCTTCGAAAGAGAGGCCCTCTCTGTAAGGTGACCCTTGGACGCGTTATCCTTAAGTCCCGCAGCCTCGGCCGGGCGGGATGGGGGAGGAAGGAGAGCGCACTTGCACGCAGCACCAGAGTTTCCATCACCACCCTCCCCCCTCGCAGGGTACCGACTGCCAGCGGCCGGGCGGGTGGTGGAGGGTGGCACGAACAAGAGAGCGCAGCAGGGGACCCCTGCAGCCGCCCAGGCCGAAGGGTTAGGGACTGCGCTCCAAGAGTTCCGGGCGGCCACCCCAGTCGCGTTCTGAGGCCACCTCGCCGGCTTCCGGCGCCGCGGAGTCGGGCCCCTCGCGATCAGCGCCAGAGGGGCCCCGGGAAGAAGGGATCGGGGGAACTGGACCGGGGGGGGGGCGCGGGCGGGCATCCTACCTGTGGTGGAGAGCACGGTGCTGGCGAAGAAGAGCGCGGAGGTGAAGTCCCAGTTCCAGTTGCCCGAGGCGTTGCTGAGCACTGACACGCCGTAGTTGCTGGCCTCCAGCACCCGGCCCAAGAACTGCTCGAGCTGCGGCTCCGACAGGCACTCGTGCTCCTCCAGGAAGCGCCGCTTCAGCTTGCGCAGCTCCTGGCGCAGCAGGTCCTCGTAGGGCAGCTCCACCGACGAGAAGACCACGGCGCCGAAGACCAGGTAGAGCACGTAGCCGAGCACCAGGAAGCCGAAGC